ATAAGTAAAGATCTGGTTTCATTTTCACAAGCCATGAAAAGTGATGATTCTGCTAGATGGATTGATGCTATGAATGATGAATTGAAATCAATGGAGCAGAATGAAGTCTGGAATCTAGTAGAATTGCCTGAAGGATTTAAGAAAGTCAGGTGTAAATGGGTCTTTAAGACCAAACGCAACTCCAATGGCAATATCGAACGACATAAAGCTAGACTTGTAGCCAAAGGTTTCACTTAGAAAGGAGGCATTGATTATAAAGAGACCTTCTCTCCTGTATCCAAGAAGGACTCACTTAGAATTATTATGGCATTGGTGGCCCATTATGATTTGGAGTTACACCAAATGGATGTGAAAACCGCTTTTCTAAATGGAAGTTTAGAGGAAGAAGTCTATATGGATCAACCTGAAGGATTCTCCACTAAGGGAAAAGAGCACATGGTTTGCAAACTTAAGAAGTCAATATATGGACTTAAACAAGCTTCTCGACAATGGTACCTTAAGTTTAATGATACCATAACTTCCTTTGGTTTTACGGAAAACACCGTTGATCGGTATATATATCTGAAGGTTAGTGAGAGCAAGTTTATATTTTTGATTCTATATGTTGACAATATATTGATTGCTAGTAGTGATCTTGGATTATTGCATGACACTAAGAAATTTCTCTCTAAGAATTTTGAAATGAAAGATATGGGTGAGGCAACCTACGTGATAGGAATTGAAATATTTCGTGATCAATCACGTGGATTGTTGGGGTTATCTTAGAAAACATATATTGATAGAGTTCTAGAGAGATTCAATATGGAGAATTGTTCAGATAGTGTTGCCCCAATTCAGAAAGGGGATAAATTCAGCCTTACGTAATGCCCAAAGAATGAATGGGAACGTAAAGAAATGGAAAGGATTCCTTATGCTTCCGCAGTAGGAAGCCTAATGTATGCACAGACCTGCACTAAGCCAGACATCAGTTTCGCAGTTGATATGTTAGGGAGATACCAAAGTAATCCTGGAATGGATCATTGGAAGGCTGCAAAGAAAGTGATGAGGTACTTGAACGGAACAAAGGAATATGTGCTCACATTTAGGAGGTCTGATCATCTAGAGGTTATTGGATACTCAGATTCAGATTTTGTCGGATGTATAGATAGCAGAAAGTCCACTTTTGGTTATTTGTTCCTTCTAGCTGGAGGGGCAATCTCATGGAAAAGTGCGAAGCAAACTGTCATAGCTTCATCAACAATGGAAGCTGAATTTGTGGCATGCTTTGAAGCTACAGTTCATGGATTGTGGTTGCGGAATTTTATCTCAGGACTTGGAATTGTCGACACTATTGTCAAGCCGTTGAGAATTTATTGTGATAAATCTGCAGCGGTGTTTTTCTCCAAGAACGACAAGTATTCTAAAGGTGTCAAACACATTGAATTGAAATACTTTGCCGTCAAGGAGGAAGTACAAAAGAAACGAGTGTCTATAGAGCACATTAATACAGAGCTCATGATTGCAGATCCATTAACAAAAGGATTATCACCAAAGACATTTAAGGAACATGTTAACAGAATGGGTCTTGAATATAATTCATGATGTTTACTTGATGTTGGATTATTGTAACGACACTTTTAATTTTGTGTTTTATGATATTTCCTTACGTACATATGTTAGAATTGCATGAATGATAACAAGAATAGCCTTGACACAAGGCATTATTGTTGGACCTCTTTTATCAACACTTCTCACTTATAGATCATGTTAGACAAGTTACTAGTGTTGTGGTACATGGAAGGGAATATGTCGTGTTAATGATGTATGACCGCCATGACTCGCATTAGTAATTTGTTTAATTGTGGTATTATGATGACCAAATTAAGGAGTGACGGATTGGATTTAATGCGCGCGTATGTTAACCTTACTAGACCCAACTGTAAGATAATCATATGAGCCAAGTGGGAGAATGTAAGACTTAAATGTGGCCCACATGATTTTTGGCACATGTTGATTTAGGAAATCGGTCTTCTCTCTACCTATAAATATGCACATGCCCCATTGATTTGTGTATCTTATGTTAAAAAGGTTAGGAGAGATAAACTATACTTTCAGACTACCCAAAATAATGTTATTCTTGTTCAAGAATCACAAAGGTTTACATCAATGGCTTCAGTTATGTAACTTATGATGTTTTTAATTCCACAATATGAATATGTGAAAATAATGATTGTTCTAAGTCTTGAAATTAAAATTTGATTAATTTATTTGTTATTAAATTGTATCGACCCTAGGTATGAAAAACAAATCCACTATGTAAACTTTATAAGAGTCACACTCTGATTGGGTAAGGGAAAGCCAGCGTGGCACATTCATCATCAGCCCATATCTTTCTTAGCCATCCTAACATACACATGAAGATGTACAGCATTTCAGCAACTATCACAGGCTTCTACAGGAAATTACACTCAAACAGTCTCGTGGCTCTCCAAACAGCTTCTTTGCTTCTTTGCTTCAAGTTCCAGCAACTATCATAAAGTTATGCTGCTACTGTTTTTTCCTCTAATTTAGCAATCATATGGGTCTATAACATATAAGGCTAAAGATACATCATCGAATCTAAATAATTTTTTATCGCTAAGTAGGGTGGTTTACTGGGATATCTGTTTTACTCTTCACCTTAAGGTTGGAAGTTCGAATTTTGGAATCCCCGTTGGGGCTTAGTGGTTGACCGCTATGCTAGCCTAATTAGATCTGATCCTGAGAGGTGTTCCAAGCGCGGTCAGAGATCTTGTGATTCCACCGATGAAGGCTTATCAGAGTGGTCGTTGGACGCTTTTCCTTTTCCCCTTCCCCTTTTTTTTAATAGCAAAAAAAAAAAAAAGAATCTAAATAATTTTAGTTGTTATTGTGCTTTATATAAAAATGATACTCTTTTTTTTTTTTTTTACTACATATAGGGCCTATTTTAATAATCACTACTCGATTTTCTTATTTGGGTTTGCCTTTTATTCTTCTAAATTCATAAAGGGTTGTGATGTTAACGGAGGAAGTTTCCTCCCAAGGAAACAACACTCTGGGGTCACAGTACCAGATTATCTCAGAGCTCAATTCCAACCTCTTGTCAAAGGAAGCAAGGTAACTTACTGATAGAGACTTTTTATTTTTGGGAATTCTCTAAAAAATGGCAACTAGGTTGCAAATGGTTCATTTCCTTGGAAATTACATTGATGAAACTAAATCCACCAGCATTTACATGAAAAGCTTTTGGCCCAAATAAAACCATTTTAATAAGAACAATATATAGAGAAAAAGTTCCCCAATCCATAAAAAGATAATACATGAATTTAATAACACCTCACTAATATCTATCTCCACCTCGGTAAACTATTTAATAAAAAAACTACTAATTCCCCTATTTTATCGACACTCACTAGTGGCTATGTTCATCCCATTAAAAAATGTTAGTAGTCTTGCATTGTATACTTCTTTGCCAATTTTCATATTCTAGAGAAGAACAATTATTTTTCTGTTATACGTAGGCAAATATATTACTATATCTTATCCTCAGTATTTATTTTTTAAAACATTTTCATTTTTTATGGAAAATTGAATAACTATCTTCATTTCCTTAGAATTATTATTATTGTTTTTTGCCGAACCTCTAAGTTTGGTATTTATGCTATAAGAGAGAGTGAGAAATTGCTTAATGCTACCCAAGTTTTATCTTCTCTGCTTTTAATTTATGTAATTCTTCAATAATTAAGAGATGGTGGTGTTTAGATATAAGAGAGTGTATGTAGATGGATGAGTCTAATCATTAACGAGGGGAGTACCAAATAGGGGTGGGTATAGTCTTGGAGTAAGGATTGACGTATTTGGTTGAGAATATCCACCTTTTAATGATTTATGCATGAGTACTACTTATAGGTTGAAAGGTTCATGTTGGAATCGGATCATGATAGAACTTGCAATGGAGGAATTTATATTTTAGATTGAGCCATGATCAACCTTTTGCCCTACCAACTCAACAATGTAATTTAATTTTTTTTTTATAGGAACAAACATATGCAATTTTCACTACATATGTATGGAGTACTTGTATAGCTAGTTTTATTAAAAAAGTTAATTTTTTTGGTATTACAGTCAGGGATATTCAAATTAGTTTATGGGTTCATTGATCCTAATCCCTCCCCAATCCAAATTCCTATGATTCCAAAGGAGTTATTAAGTAAGAGTAATCCTAATAAGGAATGGGTATATCATTCATAGTAAAGTAATACCCAAGTTTTAACCTTTTTTAGAATACCCAATTACGTTGGGTATGATATTACAATCATTGATGATGGGTTTAAGATTTCCACTATCTTTATTGGGAATTTGATTCTAATAGTAATCCTATTCCCGATATAAATTACCGAGTCATTAGCTACTCAAACATGATAATTTATGGGATTAGAAATGAGATTATTATTTTCAACCAAGATTATCGCCATCCAATTGAACACTAAAGGTAATTTAAGTAGTAATAGAGACAATTTATAAATTCAAATAATGTTTGAATTCAAATTTTAACAATTTTTTGAACCAGACTAAGAACTGATAAGTGATAATTTGATTCAAAGATCCGAACGATTGAAAAAAAATAAGGGGAGAGTTGTCAAATCCCTAACTAATGATAGCCTTGTCCCTCTTCTTCCATTGGACTTTGTTAAGAAAGTTTCGGGTGAATTGTATTTTGTATATTAAAAAATTTTAAAATTTTTTATTTATATTTTTTAATATTATATTTTTAATATATTAAAAATATTATAATGTAATCATTCTGTTAGTTTTTTGTGTGTTTTTTTGTGAATGTTAATAGGTTAGATTTTGACGAAAAAAATAATAAAAGTTTATATTGTAATATTTTTAATATATTAATGGTATAATATATAAAATTTTATCTTTAAAAAGTATGTGTGTGGGGAAAGCCCTTAAATACCAAGACATTGCAATTGATCTCAAAACTAAGATCGTCCCTCTCCCTCTCCCTCTCCCTCTCAGGCGCACCGACAATGACTCATCGTAGGACCTTCAACGCCTTCATTTCCTCTGCTCTCGTTACCTGGAAATCTGTACGCTGTCTCTCTCTCTCTCTCTGTCTCCATCAACACATACACATAGGAATCTTCCTTATTTCTGTTCCAATTTTTTTTTTTTCAAATTGCAGACGGGTAAATTACAGCAAACAATAGCGAAGTGTGTAGAGCGAACCGGACGGGCACTCCACTCCGGCAAGATCACAACGGTGAAAATATGGCCGGAGCATGCCGGCGGGGGTAGGTATTTCGATTTCCGGTCAAAATTCATCCCCGCATCCATCGAATTTGCCGAAGAGAGCCCACTCTGTACAACGCTGTCCAAAGATGGGCACAGAATTCGTACCGTTGAGCACTTGCTCTCTTGCTTGGAGGCCACCGGCGTCGATAATTGCCGAATCGAGATCGAAAATGAGGACTCCTATGATCAGTCTGTTGAGGTAGGTGACAAAAAATGTTTTCGTTTGTGAATGTCGTTGAATTTACACACATACACATATTTTATGTGCAGTATTTGAAACTTCGGGTAGTGATGAACTGTTAATGGAACTATTTCGTTAGATTTGTGAAACCTACTTGAACCACACACGCACACACACTGTGTATCCACATACAACACACACAAACACCTTTGTGAATTGTGAATATAGTTGAATTTACACCTAGGCACAAACATCTTATGTGGATTCCTTGATGCTTCTGAATAGCTACAATGCAAATATTTCATCAGATTTATGAATGTAGTTGAGTCACACTCGCAGAGTCACACCAATATAATATCGGTGTTGAGCAGAGGTGACAGGACGGAAACCTTGTTGTCTCCCCCTTCAAAATACACACAGGAGAGCCAGATCCTTTCAAACTCATAGACCTTGTTGTGAATGCGGCTAACATCTTCAGTAGTAAGCGCCTTCATAATTTTTTGACCGTCACCTTCTGATATGACACACCAAAATCCCCATTCAAGAGCAAACTGGACAACTGTGAATGCGGCTGCTTTAATAACATCCGCTTCCATCAGTCTTGAATAGAGCTTTGCAAGGCCAGCAACAAAGTTACAATAATCTCGACCCACCACCCCCACTCATGACGCTTCTAGATGCAAAGCTTTGTACGCATAAAATTAATTTTGTAATAATAAGAGGGCTCTCGTCTTACCATGTTGGCATTGGTCTACTGAAGTTGCACAAGCTTATCATCAAGTTGAACCAACTCAAATTGCTTCTGATAATTTGGTTACCAGCTCCTTACACTACACCTCCTTAAGTTTGGCATGATTTCTATTGAAACAAATCCCCCAATCTTGTATCCTTAAAACTCACTTCATAACAAATCCCTCGACATGTCCGTGTTCTACTTATTTGAAAAATCTCATGTCGGCGTGTTTGTGTCGTATTGTATCCGTGTTCCACTTTCATGTCCATGCTTCTTAAATGGCAGTTCTTAAGGACACACAAATCAATTTCATTAGTTGCTCAGGAGAAACATCTGTTATTAATAGGAATATTCTTGTTTGGAAAGGGCAAAGTATCTGTACAAGCCGTCCGGACAAAGTGCTTAACCTTATTTGAAATCTTCTCCTGCCAAAGAAATCACAAGCCCTATTGTTGTTTTAGTGCCAAATGGTATTCACTTATGAAAAATATCTGGCATTTCCTTAACAATTCCAAGTCTATGTATTCTGTAGAAACGACTGCACTGAATGGAATGTAAAATATGCTAGCTACTTCATGACTAAAGAAAACTGATCATACCAACTAACTGTTCCAGCATTCTCCATCAAAATCTATTTGTTCACTCATTTTCTACAAAAATCTATTAGAAAACCAAAGGTTACAGCTGGATAAAGCATATGTACAGGTGAGATAATTTTGATAGTTGTTTTTAGCACCCTTCTATCAGTAAAGGAGGGATTTGGTCTTAACTGAGCCTCCTAAAAGAGCAAACTTGGGAAACAATGATCTTTAGAAGAGAGTTTTTGATAATGGGAATTAAGTTGAATAAAAAGTTGTTTGATGTTGGTGAATCGCAATAATTGATGATTGCTAGCAAGGATCAAAATATCGTTTCGAAACGTTTGAAACGTCCGAAACGTTTCTGTTTCCAAGAAGACCGAAACGAAATAGTGATGAAATCGAAATTTTGATATTTTGAGGTATTCTATAATGTTTTTAAATGTATTATAATATTTCAATGTATTTGCACAATTGTTTTAGAATATTTTAAGGTATTTGATGATACTTTAATATATTTCCATCAATGTTTTAAAAAATAATTTTTTCATTATGTTTTCGAAACGGGTCGAAACGTTTTCGAAACACGTCGAAGCGTTTCTGTTTCCTAGGTGACCGAAACAATATTTTAATCCTTGATTGCTAGCAAAATTTCTCATGTGACATCCATTTAGCCTTCTGTTAGGCTGTGTGTGGAACACGGATGCATTTTTTACTGAAACACTTGTATGCACTGAGAGGAATTAATGTAGAGAGAAATATAAGACAGAAAAAAAAAGAGATCAAGAATTGGGTACTAATTGTGAAAACTTTAGGAGGCATGCGAAAGAAGATGAATGTAGGGGAAATAGGTATGTATTGGGGAAAGAGACAGCAAGAATTTTGTCTTGAATTTTCTCAAATGATTCACAGCTGTCTATATATGCACAAAGATTTCATGATTTATTGGTTGATTGGTGGTATGAAAGGGTATACTTATTCTCAATGGAGCAAAACTTGTCAAAAATGTTGGTTTTTGGCTTTCTATTTTATAAATTTGGAAAATTGGTTACAGTTCGGGTTTTTGGATATGCTCGAGAATGTTTTCTATGTAGAATAAGACTTCGGTTACAGTATAATGAAATCTGAATATGTACTGTGTTAAGAGTGGTCTCACATAAGTGAAAGAAGGTTAGCATGCAGCTTGTGCTTGAACACAAAATAAACTGACACAGGTTCCTATTTTAGATGGGTCAGCAAGGGAATGGATGGAGGCTATAGAACAAGCTGGGTTAAAGGTAGCCACAGATCCCACTGGCAAAGGCTGTGAAAAACTGGCAGCTTTTCTTAATGAACCTGTTCATATGTGGAAGAATGATTCTTTTATTGCTGCATTCCCATCTCCAAAGGTTTACATCACTTATGGAATTAACTTCCCTGAGGTACACGTTCTGCTGCATTAGTATTTAGTTTGCACCAGTATGGACTTTGGAAAACCAGACATTTGCTTTACATTACTCTTTAACTAGTTGTATGCTGTGAGTATTATTGCTATTGGTGAAATTCCATGCTGTCTTGCTTTTGCCCATACTTTTTCATTCTTTAAAAATTTCATCTGGCTTTGGTCGATATGTTTCATCTCTTTTTTCCCTGTGTCTTTTGTGTCCATACAAATTTGCATTGCAAAGGATTTACAGTTTAACTTCATGACTGATTACCTGCTTGATCCAAATTGGCACAACGTTTAAGATCAATTACAAGAATCACATTAACAGTGGTTTTAATATTTTGCCAGTCAACCATGGGATATGGTTCATTCTTGAGTATTCTATGCTAATAAATACTACTAAGATGATATCCAATTGCTAGAAACTCCAGCTTGTAATTTATGAGAGAAGTTTAATAAGTGGACCAGATAAAATAGAGGTTTCTGAAGAACTTGACATGCTATCACTATAAAGCAGGGTATTTAAAAATTCATGGTACTTGTGTAGTTGACGTGGAGACATAATTTTTTATTAATGACAGAATTGAACTTGCTGCAGTGACTGATTGCACTAAGAACAGCCCTGACAGGTAGTTTAAAGGTTTCAGATTTCTCATAGATTGCCATGTTACAACCAAATATGGTAGAAGAAATGCAACATTTTGAGAAATTAAATAAACTCAAAAAAAAGAGAATATGAACAGCAGTTAAAGTCTCTTCGACCCGAAGTGAAGTTCCTTATTCGTATTTATCCAGTCACTGCTGGATCCTCACAATGATCCGGAAAGGTCAGCACCGGATCAGTCATGATGTAATGATTTGTGATTGACTCTTGGAAATGTCAAGTCCTACCACATGCAAGGATGAAAATTTTGTTTCATTTCCACTTAAATAACCAAAATGGAAACTAAAACAAATCAGATATTGAATATCAAAATTTCTATGTTTCGCATTTTTTCGACATGTTTCGATGTGTTCTGCTATGTTTTGACCATTATTTTGGAATGTTTGAAAAACAACTTATAATTTTTTTTCTCTGCTTCCACTGTTTGCGAAGCATTGCTGTGACTTTCCCATTTCCGAATCAACCAAAACTATGCACCAAAATAAAATTTTGTTCTTTGTTGACAAGTTTTGAACCTTGTACAACCTAGCACAATCTTCCTTACTTTTGTTTGCAACGCTGGCTGCATGGAATGGGGAAAGTTGTATCCCTTAAAATGGCAGATTTGGACTGCAAGAAAACACATTATAGTGGAAATGAAACGAAACATTGCCTATTACGTCATTTTAGTGTTCCAGACACCTAAATATTGTTACTGCGTTCCAGGGTTTTTGTGGTAATCAGAATAGGTAAATGGGACAAGGTTCTGAATTTTGACCAAATAAAAAAAATGAAAGGTCGGCCTCGATGATTTTTTTGTTCCAGGTACCTGCCATTGGCTGCCAGTGGTTCTCTTCCCCTTTGTTAGATGAGACTTTTGGAGGAAAGGTATCCTCCCCCATTTTGGAGGAAATATATATCCCTTAATATGGCAGAGTTCTGGACTACAAGAAAACACATTGTAATTTTGTGGATATATGAGGTTAAAGACCAGTTGTTGCTGGTATATCTTGAGGCAGAGCATTGTCTGTGGTGTTTTAGTGTTTTATACAAACTAATATTGTTGATCTGTTCCAGGGTTTTTGTGGTAATCAGCATAGAGGTTCTGATTTTCATGTAGAAAGTTAAAATTTTACGTAGGATTGGCCTCAATAATCTAATTGTTGCAGGTGCCTGCTATTGGCTGCCAATGGTTCTCTTCCCCTTTGTTGGATGGGACTTGCTTCGCTGAGCAAATATCTTCTTCAAGAACCTTTTGCATTTATGAAGAGGTTTGTTTTTTCAGTTATCATCATTTCAATAAATTTTTGTTATTATATTCTTCTTTTGTTGGCGTTTTGCTGTTTAATACACATCCCCATTGTTGATTTAAGGAAATCCTGTATTATCAGCATTACCTTTCTGTAGTCCTTTCTGCCTGGTGAGCTGTCTTGATGGTGTTTGAAAGCAGATCTAAAGCACAGCTTTCATAAGGGTATAGAGAAAATTATGTATAGGCTTTTGACATATTTTATAAGGCAAAGTAATAGTCCATCGAATACTTGTATTTCAAATTGCTTTTGTTTTTTTTGATTAAATCACTGACATGTAGGACCTTTTCTTTCCCCTAAGGCAGTCAATGGGTCAGACGGCGATCTTAATGTGACTCGAACTGGAATTAATTAGATCAAGATCCAAATCACAGATTGCGATACATGATTCGAAAATGTATGCATGCAATTTAAGTGACTTGACTATAATCACATCCGAACTCAACAGGTTTATTTGATAACTTGTTTTGTTATTACCTTACATCTTACACCTTTTTAAAAACACTTATATTCTTACTCCCTCTCAGATATGGACTTGGACAATAATTGAGATCTTTGTATACAAGAATTGGTTTGGATTCAGGTCTTGGCAGATCTGCAAGAATCTGTACTGCTGACAGACCCACTTCCCCTCCACCCCCTCTATATTCTGTCTTTTTAGTTCATTCATTTTTGGTGATTTTCATAAACCTCTCTGTAAAACAGCGTTATTGAATTTGTGATGTCTGGAGCAAACTTAGTCTCCCTTCATTTGCTTTTTTCATCTTATATGCTGTAGAGTTTGTGCAGGTGGAGCGATTGCGTGATGCAGGACTCATTAAAGGGGGTTCAACAGAAAATGCTATTGTGTGTAGGTGAGACACCTACAGTTCATGGAATATATTTGCACAGATTTGCAGGAGTTGTCTTTTTAACCTTTGCATACCTAAAACCCTCAGTCTCTTGGTCAAATTGACTGCTGTAGGTCTAAATTATATGGTGGCAGAAACTGCTGACTTAACCACCAATGCACAGGAAAAAGTTTGTTTTGAAATATTCTCCATAATATGTGAAGAACCACGAATATGTATTGTCTTGCATTTTCAATCATTACCTTCAGCACCTTTAGTAAAAATTATTCAAACTAAGGATCCATTGGGAAAAAGATGATATGTTGAACCTTTGACCGTCCTACAGTCTGCTTCTTTTAGGGCAAAAAGAGAATACAAAATCAGGATATGCAGATGGTTCAGACAAAGTATATAAAGTTTTTGAAACTTAATTGCAAAAGCATGATCTTTTAATGCCAAATCTCAAAAGTAATGCTGCCTAGTCTAGTTGAATGAAATTCAACACCCGATTAATACAGTAATATGGCTGACGAGGTCGCCTTGATGTTATATATTTACCTTCACATGGGCAGACATTTACCTTGGACCCAATTTCATCCGAGTTTGCCAAGGAGTTTCATGTCAGCGCGTTAACATGTTAAAATCCTGGTCACTTTGCAGTGAGTCATGAAAAATTTTGGATCTAATTAATTTCCTTGACCAAACTGTGGTTTGAATTTTGACCTTTCTTAAGACAAAGCAACAGACAAGACAACAAAAGACACAAGATAAGTCTGTCCATCTTTAAATATGCAACTTTCACCACATACAAGACAAATGTCACCATCTCATTAGTGGAAGCTGCACAGCCACATGCCAATCTCACGTCAAGCACCTCTAAAGCTAGTAAATAATGTTCTTCTCGAAGGCTTTCAACATGCACTGCTTTCTGGGCACTTCCCTTTGAATCCCAGGATGGAGAATTTAACCAGAAGATTTAAGCATTTCAAAAATTATGTGAAGATGATCAAAAATTGTTCTTAGTAGAAGTTGATGAAGTATCAAGAGGAGAGACAATCAAGATTACAGAGAGATCTCGTTTCGCAAGTTTTACTATTATGGTTGGATTGGGAGGGGTTTCTTGCTCTACAGTGTGGTTAAGGAGTCGTGCTCATGGAGCAGTCCGGAATTGTTTTCAGGAAGTTCCACAACAAAGAATATCATTTTTGGTTTGAACTTAATTCTAATAGGTTTGGTAAGTTCCTCACGATATTCTAGATCCATTCTAATAGTAACAGGCATTTTATTTCTATTCCTTAGGGAATTGATTTTAATGGATGGAGAAGGTTTTTTTAAGAAGGATAGAATTGATGGGATTACAAATTATTCCCGGAATGCATTCGAAAAAACGGGTGGAGTCAAGATATTTGAGGATATAGTGAATGAATATGTGATTAGAGGAAGTAACCTTCAAGATGCCTATGGTTTTGGTAAATGGATGAGTGTTGTTGTGTACTAGGGAGAGTATTTTCATTCCTTGGCGGTGGATTTGGCATGCCTTATTTAGTAAGTTCAAATGTAAAATTGTGTTGAATTCATTTCACATGAAGTTTTCAATCTCAGTAAGTGTTATGCACAATGATGTATTGTGATGAGATTGTGGGAGGTGTTGGTGGGTTTATATAGTCTTTGTAGTCCTCGTTGGTGCTTAAGAGGTGATTTTAATGTTGTATTTGACAAAAAAATTGAATGGGATGATGGTGATTAGGAGTATGAGGGACTTTATTCTTTTATTAGGGAAACAGGACTTAAAGGATCTACCGTTGGGAAATGGTACTTTTACGTGGTTAAATTTTAGAGAAAATTCAGTTTGTAATAGATTGAATAAATTTGTGTTCTGTAAGGAGGGGGATGAATGTTTTCGGAGGGTAATACTAGAGACTCTGGCGAGAGTAGTATCAGATAATTGTCCCATTATGGTTGGTTCATACAAGGTGAAGTGGAGTCCATCTCTTTTAGGTTTGGAAATATGTGGTTAGAACAACATTCTTTTAGAGGACATTTTAAGGAATGGTGGGAGGAAGAGATTTGTGAGGAATGAAAAGGTTTTAAATTTATGAAAACATTGGAGAATGTGAAAAAGAAAGTGAAAAGTTGGAATAAGAATTGTTTGGAGATATTAGGATCACAAAAAATTAAATCATGAATAGAATTGGAGATATTAATAAAATTGAGGAGGGGGGGCAAGAAGAGAATTTGAGGAAAGCAAAATGGGAGTTAAGGAATAGATTTGAAGAGATGGTATGAAATGAAGAAATTAGTTGGAGACAAAAAGTCAGAATGAAATGGATTAAAGAAGGGGATAATAATTTTAAGTTATTTCATAGAGTAGCAAATGGAAGGACAAAGAAGAAGTACATTGATAAATTGGAATTGGATAACGGCGAGATTATAGAAGAAACTGAGGATGCTTGACCGATATCAGAGGGGTTGGAGTGGAGTCCTATTGAGGAAGATAAGTTTAGGTGGTTGAAAAAACCTTTTGTGGAAGAATCGTGACAAGGTTCTGGGACCCAATGGATTCACTTTTGCTATGTATCAAGATTGTTGGGATATAGTGAAAGTAGATTTAATGAAAGTCTTTAGTGAATTTTTCCGGAATGGTGCGATCAATGCAATTGTCAATGCAACTTTTATTTGTTTGATTCCAAAGAGAGACAAGACAATGAAGATGAAGGATTATAGGTTGATTAGTTTGGTGTTTAGTCTTTATAAAATAATTGCAAAAGTTTGGCCTTTAAGATTAAAAAAAACATCGAGTGGTATAATTTTTGAGTGTCAAGGGCTTTTGTTAAGGATAGACAAATTCTTGATGTTGCTTTAATGACAAATGTTGTGGAGGATTATTGTCATAAAGGTAAGTAGGGTTTTGTTTTCAAAATCGATTTGAGAAAGCATGTCATTATGTAGGTTGGATCTTTTTGGAATATGTCACTGGGGTTATGAAGTGTGGATATGAATACGATGCGATATGGATACAACGATACGTGAAAATTTTAAAAATTAAGAAATGAGTACGACTGGAATACGTTTATATAAAATATATTTTTATATTTTATAGTTATTTAATTTTAAATTATAACTCTTATTCAATTCTTACATTAGCGGTAAAAAATTCAAGTGATTGTACAAAGCAAGTGTGTAGAAAAAAAAATGTTACAAGTTGAAGTAGTTTAACACTATCTACACGTGTACACAACAAGTGCATAGTAAATGTATTCCACCTCATTAATCTTTTCCTTTTGAAGAATTTGGGCTCATATTGACTTTATTTTTCTGGTCTTGATCTGTTTTAGTATTCTTTCATTTGAAGTTTTCATGTTCCTCAAATGCATTTTTTTCTATTAGAGCATCCAACCCAAAAATATCAACTAGCTATAAGCGGGGTGACCCCTCAAGTGTATTAACCAATCTTGGGTCTACTTAATCATTCGATGTGGGAAAGCATTATTTACTCATTCCCTCACATGTGACCCCATCTTGCACGTTGACAAATACTATCAGGGAATTCAATTGGGTGATAGATGACGTGGGCCACAAACCACCCAAGGCTCAGCTTTGATGCTATGTTTAGAAAATTCAACCTAAAACCAATTAGCTACAAATGAATGGTCACTCAAGAATATAAAGCAACCTTGGTTTGCTTACTTTTTCGATGTGGGATAGCTTTCGTTATATTTTCTTAACAGAGTCATGGATTTAATGGAGCACCATATTAAATCGGGAGGATCCTCAAAATACTTTATTGTTTTATTTTTGTTGAGCTATAATCATTCAAAATTTTGACCTTAGAAGCCAGAAGCATATGTGTTGGAGCAGTAGTAGTTTCTTTTTGAAGAAAACTTCATCCACTGATCCTCTACAATATATGCTTATGTAAAGAAAGATCGCAAAGGTGTTTCACAAGTTGTTCAAATTACGGGGCTTTGCATTGAGGGTGCTTGCATTTTCATAATTTGAATTCTGAACTAGGCTATCTAGTTTCTTTATAGTCATGGGTATGAATTTTATATTGATCAATCCAAAGTATAATAAATGAAAAGTTCAGGATCGTTGTTTGTTTTTATTGCTTTTGTTTTCTATTTTAATAAATATTCTGACATTTCCAGAGTGAGATTAATGAATTTAGAAGTTGGCAGATGGTTGGTTTGTGTGAATGAGGGCTTTAATGACCTTCTATCTTTGTTCTGAATCAATATTTGCTTTCAATGAATTGACTTAGCCATTGTATTTTTCCAGTGGCAGTAGAGGTTGGTTGAATCCACCACTGCGTTACCATGATGAGCCTTGTCGACACAAGGCTCTGGATCTTATTGGCGACCTATCTCTTTTTGCACGAAGTGGTAGTCAGGGGCTTCCAGTGGCGCACATAATTGTTTACAAGGCATGTTCCTTCTCTGTATTTTTCTTCTAATTTATATCACTTATAGAAATGCATTGGAAATCTGTGGTTCATGGACAGTGAACTTGAATTAAAATATGGACCGTACACATGATAGAAATGTGGGAATGACTCTGCTTGTGTTTCAAATGGAAAATACATATGTGTGTATATATTATATGTGTGTGTGTGTGTGTATTCACTAGAATACATATATTGTACCCAGTCAAGTTGAGGTTGTTGGTCTGAAACCGAGGGCAATCACTATGAGCAAAAAATGTGTCAGGATTGCACTCAGCATAGCCGTCTCAGAATCCATTAGTGGGGTCTAAATGGGATGTTATACACACTAAATTTTGTTGGAGATCCAATATTGTTATCATTGATATTCTACTTCAGTAAGTCCTTGTCCCAATTGCTTGGGTGGCCTTGTAACTTGTGATCTCCCAGAAGCAATTATCCGCAACTTTCTGTTCAATTATATGAGCAATTTTGATGGTGTTTCAGTCTTATTCACTCATGATTTTCTCATTTGAGATGATGAAATTACTTGGTAAGTGTTTCTTAACCATCAACATAGCTCATTTCACCTTAAATCACAGTTCTCTGTTCGCCAGACTTTCTCTTGTCCAGTAACTATTCTGTTATTGTTTTTGGGTCTGATTGGTTACTTGGATTATTTTTAAATGTCCGAATAACTCTCTCTCATCTGTTTGAAAATCATGAAGAAGTTCGGCTGTCATCCTTATAGTAGCTCTACTGAATGCATGAACGATTATCAGTACTGTCCCCTTTTGAGTATCAATCGCTTTAGTTGTTAACAATTTCTTGAACGGGTGAGTTGCAGTTGTCAATGATTGGTGGGGAGCATTTTCTTGCCGCTGTGGATGGGATATTTTACTAGTTACAAATTTAATGCTCTCTAGGTTTCCTACTGCAACCAATTTTGCTTATTCTTCAGTTCAAAGAACAGTTTTGGCTGAAAGCTCATAAGAAAAAGATTATATTAAATTGACTTGTATAAAATACATTCGATTATCAAATGGAAAATGTTATTTAGACTTAATTTGGGGACCTTATTTAGGAATCATTAATGTACAATCATTGGATAGATTGTGGGTTCCATCTAACATTCAAACTCACAACTAATCCAATGGTTGCATTGAAGCCACATTATTAGGTTCCTAAATAAAGTCTCCAAATAAGGTCCCTATAGCATTGCTCTTATCAAATTTGACTGGTCATGAGAATTCATCAAGTTGCAATTGAACTACTTGTTTTGCAGGGTGGTCATGCACTGCATGCTGAATTTGTTCGATCACTAGAGTTGAACCGGAAAAGTGACTGCTGGTTGTCAAAAAGCCGGTAGTTAGAATCAAATGTTATGTACTTGGCAGATTTATGAACTAAAAACAGATGAAGAGATCCCTCTTGTCAGGTATCTGTATATATAATCTAGTTTGTGAAAGTGTTGTACAGATGTTGTGTGTGTGAGGACGCGATGTTAAATAGGAAGTTTCGGATTTCCAATGTTGTTTTGTGTTTGTGATTATGGGTTTATTTTCTACATTTACAATTTGATGTTAAATTGGAAGTTTCGGATTTCCAATGTTGTTTTGTGTTTCTGATTGTGGGTTTATTTTCTACGTTTACAATCCTTCCGTCTTTGTTTTCATGTTTCTCTGCCTCGTTTTTATTAAATATAATGGAAGATTGTAGTGAAACTTATAAGAGGGAGGGACCAATCACAAGCCAGTAATCCTCTGTTTAGAGAGAGGGAGAGACCACTCACAATACAGTAATCTTCTGTTGAGGATAGAGTCTGCCGAAAATGTAGTCTTACAAATTTTATTCAACTACGTAAATCAGTTGGACTGTTGCTCTTTTCCAATTCCTTAGCCGGCTACTACAAGGGTTTATTATAAAACAGAAACCTTAGTGGATTGCCAATTGAAAAACCACTTTTATTCCAGAGATTGTCAGGATTTGGCATTTTTTATTCGACTAATGGAGTGAACGACTGAATGTGTTTTTTCTTATCAAGACAATTTTGATGCGAGCTCAAGTAATTCTTGTATCATGATTAAGTGTTTTAGACAAGAAAGCCAAATCATTAATCTTACCAAAATCAATGAACGCCGACTACCATTTAGCTCTTCTAAACATCGTTATAGACAAGAAGCTTGTGCAAACTAATCCTCCACCCTGCAGATCTTGAGCCACAAACTAAAAGAAACTGAAATACAAAGCTGGAAAAATGAAAGCCAGCCTGTCCTCAAGGTTGAGATTCTTGAGGAAAAGCGGAGAATTCATCAAATACCCACCGCTCTTACACCAGGAACTGGCGACCTGGTATGGTTTCTTTCAAATATACAAAAGTCTTAACTCCCACGTGCAAAAAAACTATTTTCGTAACTCGGAACACATTTGAACTACTTACCACTGTACAGGACCCACAATCTGTATACCACTTGTCTTCCAAGTGTCTCAATAATTTTTTTGGTCGTCCATGTACCAACCAAAGAGAATTGATATTAATTTTACTACTGATCTCAAGAAATCAACAGAGAAAATGTACAACTAAAATACAATCACATTTTGCTGGTAAACCCAAGGTCGGCTGTGTTGTCTATTATTCATATACATACAACCATACATACACATATGTATACGTTCTCTTCTTCCAACTTAGCAACCGAAAAGAAATGTAGCCAATGAGAGAAACAGGTTGGATGAAACACACCTCAGACATCTAGAAGCAAGAAGCAACTTGAACAGAGGCAATAAAACACACCTCAGACATCTTCAAAAGGTTGAAACTACACTAATGAAGCTTTACTTGAATGAATGTGAAAACTTATTTTGATAAGCACAAAGGTGAGTGTATTTCAAGCCTTGATTTCTCCTGCATAATCAGATGCAACAGGTGGATACCCAAACCTGAATTGTCTACTTCGTGTGATTTTTCCCTCTCCTTTCTTCAAACCTGTTCATTTCCCTTGAGAATGTTGTACTTGCAGAGAGGACATGTTGCATTAGTTTTAAGCCATTTCACAATGCATGTTGAATGATAATGATGGTTGCAGGGGAGAGCATGCAGCTCTGTTCCATCCTCATATGAGTTGAGACATATACAGCATTCCTAGAAAGATACAAATAACACTAGTGAAAAAGTACAAAAAAAATGTCCTTTGGGAAGTAGGTAGCTGGTAATTATCACAATCATTACATATTTACATTTGTCGTTATTATTCAGGGGTTTTCAACTCCCAAATAGATGAACTATGCATGCATGTGCCTTCTCCTATCACAGGATCTGTGACGACTGACCTTTATATCAGTTGACATGGCCTGGTGTATGCTTAGTTCCACTAGAGAGTTATTGCAGTGCTAGCTAGAGGGCGGCCCCATGAAGAGGATGTGTATTTTGATTCCTTTAGCTTTATATTGGTGTGTGTGGGATAAAAGGAATATCATGAATTTTGAGTGTACAAAGATGCCCATGGATAGGCTAAAACAATCCCTTTGGAATATTTAATTTTGTTCGGATATAGGGTTTCTACCCAAAGGGCTTAGTCCCAATCCTATAGTTCCTTGGAGGAGATCATAGTAGTTTGTAAAGCTTCATTTTCATACTGCAAGAGCATGATGCAGCCTCCATCTATTCATTTTTATGTGTCAAATGAAAAAAAATGCTGAAAACATAACTTGAAAAGCTTGGAATGTCATTCACAAATACTTTCTTCTTCCAATCTTGGATGGAAGCAGAAAAAATAATCAAAAAAGGGAACAAAAATCACATATTCACTACAGGTAGAAGATCTATAAATACTTTCCGAAACAAAGACCAGGAATAAAGCTACTTAGTAAAAGAAAAAGCTAATAATTGTTGAAAAATAAACTTATTTTAGAGTTTTAGTATATTATAAAGTTGAGTTAATTTTGTGTGTTAGTGAGCAAGGAATATGTAAGTAGTGGAAGACAATAGTATTAATGGGTGTTAATTTCCCAAATAATGGTGTCTTAATATTTTAGGAGTTACAAGAGTTAGTGGGTGTAGTAGTGTGTGAATGTAATGCTAAGAGTATTGGTTTGGTCCTATGTAAATAGGATAGATGTTCTAGTGTTAAGAGGTAAGTAGAGTTGAGTAGAAATTGTAGAGTCCAAGTTAAATGTGTGATTGTAATCAACTTGTACGATTTTTTTTTTTTAAGTGTTCATATCCTTCTCTACTAATTTTAATTTTATTTCTAATCCTCTTGACTCCAATAAAGTGGTATCAGAACAATTTTTCAACCAAAGTAACATTGGAATAATTTCAACAAATTGGTATCAGAGCTAGCACCAATCCTAAAAGATAACTCTCTATTAGAGCCAGTTTTACAGTCCTAGAAACTAGTTAACTCTCCATCACAACCAACTTTTGATCCAAAATCTAAAAAGCTCCCTTTCAGAGCCAGTACAATCCTTAAAGTTTCACCAAATATGTGTTTTTGGTGTGAAAATGTGATGTTCGCTAATTACAAGAGAATGAAAATTAGTTTTTATCTTAAAGTATGTTATTTATGAGATGTGATTGAAGAAAAACCAAGGAGTGGCTTGCTTAGAAGAATATGAGAGAAGAAAGTGGAAAAGACACTCGGAGTTCGTAAGTCAGCTATTCATCTTGAGATTTGGAAGTTTGTAGGAGATTCAAGTTCTTCAAATCATGTTTGGAAGTTGATTGAGAGTATTGTCTCCAAACAAGAAGGTGAGTTTTTACCCTAGGAGTATTGAGTTCAATGCTTTGAAGAAGATGAGTACGTAAAAAAAAAAAGAGTGATTTTGAAGACACACTAATGAAGAATCAAGAAAAGCATCATATTGATGAAGTGAAAGAAGTTGAAAAAGTTAAATTGAAGTTCAAGAGACTAGTGACGATGATGTTGAAGAGTCAACTCAAGAAATGAAGAAAAAAAAGAAGTTTGTGAACAAGTTAAAACAAAAGTGAAAGAAATTGAAGAAATTGCGAGGAATGAAGATGAAATCAAATATCTTGTCACGGTAAAAGATGGTGAGACAGAATCCTATGAACTAGTCTCGAAAGATATTTTTCCAATGAAGCATGAAAGTGAAGATCATCTTGACGGAATGTTCGAAAACAAGAGTCAAGGTAATGATTTTCTAATAAATTGCATGAATCATTACTTACAACTTTGTGTACAAAATGTTTTAAGTAACACAGGTTGGGTGAAAATGTTTTAAGTAGATGGCTTTGAAGATTCTTGCAATTGAAGGAGGTGATGCTTAAGTCCATAAAGTTTATAATAATTCCACGAAACCTCTCTATCATGAAGTGATTTGCAAAATAAGGACTTGGAGGTGCAAAATTAAGTTTGGAGGGGGTGTTTAAAAAATAAACTTGTTTTAGAGTTTTATTATATTATTAAGGTGCTTTAATTTTGTGTGTTAGTGGGGCAAGGAATATGCAAGTAGTGGAAGATAATAGTTTTAGTGAGTGCTAATTCTCGAAGTAATGGTGTCTTAATATTTTAGGAGTTACAAGGGTGGGTGTGGTGGTGTGTAAATGTAATGCTAAGAGTAATGGTTTAGACCTATATAAATAGGATAGATGTTCTAGTGTTAGAGGTAATTAGAGTTGAGTAGAAGTTAAAGAGTCCAAGTTAAGTAAGTGATTATAATCAACTTGTATGGATTTTTTTTTTTTCGTGTTCATATCCTCCTTTACTTCTTTCCATTTTATTTCTAGTCCTCTGGACTCCAACAAAGTGGTATCAGAAATTTTTCAAGCAAAATAACATTGGAGTAATTCCACAATAATTGCATTTGAAAATTAAGAAAATATTGATCTTACAAGAAAACATCTTTTACTACTAGGCAGCGAGCTTGCATCTTCCCTCTTTCAGGTTCAAGAAAAGAAACAGAGAAAAAATAAAGCTATTCTGTTTGATTTGGAATCACATTAATAACATCTTTTATCAAGTATTTTGAGTTTTCAACTAATTATTACTTCAACTTCAGATAGAACTGCAGACAACAACCTATAGCTTACAATGAGAAATGAAAAAAGCAATTTATATAGACCTACCAAAAGACAAAAAGAAGATGATATAGGTTATGGACCTGGTGAAACATGTTAGTGAGGCTTGCCTCTTTTTACTGGTTGAAAAAGAAAAACAAGAGAAAATAAAGCTTTTCTTTTTAAATCTAAAACCGCATCAGTAACTTCATTTTTTGGGCTCCTTTCCGTTTTCCACTACCAGTTGTTCCCATCATTCAAATACCATGGGTTATGGACCAAGTGAAACATATGCGTTGGCATTTTCATGGAAAAGCAATAACTTACTGCATCTTCAGGTAAAAGAGTCTGTTCGTTTGCTAAGTATCCACTGTGTGTTTCCAAAGGAACCATTCTACCTGCTCCTATACTTTGCTTCTCCTCCTCACTTGAGATTTGAAATGTGTACTTTGGAAGGATACTGAGATCTGCCTCTGATGCACCTTCCTATATAATCGCTCAACAAGAAAAAACAGCAGTCCAATCAATTAGCTCGCTTACTAGTAGATAAATATTAGTTGCGAAAAACCCTCATTAAATTGAGTTGGATTAACAGATAATTAGTTGCCCATAATCCACTACATATTGTTACCTGGCCTGCAACGGCATAGAGAATGGCAATAATGCAGGGCAAGCAGCAACAAAGAGCGATCCCTATCAAACATGCCAAAACAACACAAAAGATGGCGAAGAACACATCGAATGCCAGAAATATCACAGCCAACCTGCAGCAACTCAAAATCAGATATCGGGGTATTTCTCTAAAACTTTTAAGGGCGTGCTCTCATTATTTTTTATTGATTTCTTTATCCCTGACATGTAGGTGCATGCTCTCATTAGGAAGTTAAACAAATTAATTGGTATTATATATTTTTTGTCGGACGGGGTGCCAAGGAGATGCAAACCACGAATTCATTGGTTAATTCTCTCAAGTTTTATCTAAAGTTTCGACATTCAAGAATGCTAACCATGCCCAGGCGCTCTCTAACACAGAGGTCCCTGAATTAGGAGATTGGTTGATCGAAAAGCTCAAGTAGGAGTAGGACATTCCATACAAATCTTTCCACTCCACTAGCTTGCGCTAGTTCTCAAATCCCATTTTTTCAGTAACTAGTACAGTGAATTCTAAGGTTCCTTATTCGAACCACTGAATAAGACAAACAGAAGGTGTCCTCTGCTTCTATCCAAATGGTCTCATTTATGAATTATCTATAATTAATAAAAGAGTGATATCCTTGATAAAGCTTGCTAATTTCCAATAGCAATAGTTACATCATAATTAATTTCTGCTTCTTTTCTCAGGGTAAGTTATATTATTAACAATTACAGGACAGCCGAATGTGCAACTCTAATGGAACCAAAATGCAAAATTTATAAATGCTTTTCTTTTATGTCAACAGTCATGGACTAATAAAAAGTTAATAGAGGCTTTTCCATTTTTCCAATTTATATATATGACAAAGAAAATTAGGACAAAATCAATTCATGTCAATCCACCTCTCCAGATACAATATCATAACAAGACAAATCACAAGAAATTCGGGCAATGTAAGATGAAGAAAAAGAGCAAAAGTTAATAAAGGAAATGACTGACATCATACATCAGCCTGACTGAAAAAGGAACAATTTCATGGACATTTTTCACTATTTCAAAGAGATTGTCCATATTTTAGGAAACCAGATATTTCACTCCAATAAACAGGAAAAATTCAGGTTGACAGATTTTGACGAAAATATATGCGTAACGGTCAATTTGGCTAGATTCAGACGAAATAAATTATCTTGGGACCAAATTATTTGAGACATACCAATATAGACGTCGAGCACTCCGCAGAAGAACTTCTCCACCAGATACTACCCAATAGAAGCCAATTATCCACCAGATAAATGATGCCATCGTATTCACAGATTCACATCGTTTAGTAATACTGAAATGTCCATAAAACAAGGAATTTGTCAAGAGTAACCCCCTGCAGATGCTCTAGCACAATATAACAACTGTGGTCATCAAAGAAACCATTATAATAACAGACACTGCAAGGCATGAGAAGAGAGCCTAGTCTTCTTTAGATTGGAATAAGCATTTCATTTGCTTCAGCAACCCAAATTTGAAGCTTATTTTGCAAAGAATGTCTCTAACATCTTTCCCGTTCCCGTGCTGGCCCATGCACTAGGCCAATGCCTAGGGCCCCCAAATGGGAAAGAAATTTTGGGACCCCAAAATAAATTTGTGTACAATGTTATTAGACTTCATTTGATAATTTAATACATTTAGATCCAAAAAAAAAAAAACATTGAATAAGTTCACTAGCAATAGGGACCATTTCGACCATTGAATTAGTAATAGGGACTAACATTGAATAAGTTCACTAGCAATCAATTAATCACAATTTACTAGGTGTCAAAATTAGGTCCCCAGATTTTTTTTTTGGTCAACAGATCCCTAAATTAAATACAAGTAATATTATTGTAAAATATTTAGGGCCCTAGAGTTTGAGCTGATTTTTTTTTCTTCCCCAATGTTTATGGTATACAAAAAATAAGTTATCATCTAATAAAATATTTTTTTTATCTTATTATCAAAATACCTAATAAAATATTCATTTTGTTAGCTAGTCTAAATTTTCATTCTCTATATCTTTATCTTCAATAGATATCTAACTTAATTACATTTGGTCAATGATTCGAATTTTATTAATTGGATTTTAATGTATAAAATTTCAAAATTTTAATTAATATTTATGGATCTTAAAAAAAACACAAATAAATAAATAAACATATTTATTTTTTGACAATTATTTATTATTATTTAT